ACACAAAAAAAAATAGTTATACCATAGTATGTTTTTGTTGGTGATATTTATGTGTAAAGAGGATATAGTTGTTGTATGGTGTCTTATCATGACTGGTTTTCTACCTGTCAGCTAAGTGGCGTATTTGGTTTATACTCTGTGGTATGAAATATGAGGCTCGTCGTGTGGTTTCATGTGTTTGTGTCAAGCTTTAGGGGTTGAAATGATTCAGTGGTGTCTGACACAGTTTCCTAATGTTCCTGTTGGTAATGAATGTGTCTCCTGACAGGCATTACATCTAAATATTCCCCTCCATTTACCCTGGCAAATAACTCAACGTCACTGTCATTACCATTCATATTCCAATTGTGTAATGTAAAACATAAAGTCCATATTTTCAGAGTGTTTGAGCTAGAATGACACAGTAATTAGGGCCTGATGTCTCTGCTTTCATTGTAACTGGTGGCTACTATGTTGTGTGTCAGTCTGGTGATTCATTGCATGTGTCGGTGTCTTTGATGCGGTGCTTGAGTGTCGTGTTTGCTAATACTGCCCTGATGATGTTATTTCTTCTGTGGTTATGGGATGACAGTTTCTTTTTTTTTCTCCATTCTGTGCTTTTGTGTGGCATGTTTTTGAAAATTTCACTCTTTCTTCACTGTAACATTTCCTTACAGCTCATTTACTTTATACATAAGTCTCAAGACTGCTTGATTATGTGTAATGAAAGTGTTTTCACACATTTTCAACTAGCAAAAAGCTATTATGGTACCACTGAATTGTTAGAAGTATTTTATAAATAACATTATATATCATCTAAGTACCATGGTGCCACGACAATACTTTTTTGCATGTGTGCATCTCAGTATCTGAATTCAGTTAGTGTGTTTGGAATAGGATTTTACTGCTCACTGTATACTGCATAGGATACCCCTTGTGAAAAATAAGCGCACACCTGTAGTGTACTGCAAATTTTAGAAGTAGATATAATAGTAGAGACACTTAAATGTACTTAAAGAGAGTACACATGCATAACTGTTTCTTAACTCACTTAAGTATTCACTTTAAAATAGTGCACCTTGTAATGTCAAATTAGGTTTTACTTAAAAATATTTTAAATTATTGTTTTAATAACCTTTTGTCATGCTTCAAAGAAGTACACTTATTTAGATGTGATGACTAACATACTAAATCACATGTAAAGTACTTGGTATAATTTTAATTGTGTGTTAATGTATAGTTTTTTTCAGTACATTCATCCATACACTAACCATATGTCAATGACAAATGAAGTAATTATGAAATTTCATATAAAGGTGTACTTTAGACCAACTTAAGTGTCAAAAAAACAGCTAATTGCATTTAATGTAAATCTAGATTATACTACATTTTCAGGTAACACTTTATTTTAAGGGCCAATTCTCATTATTAACTAGCATGCATATTACCAGCATACAGTATTGGCTGTTTATTAGTTCTTATTATTAGTGTTTTAAGCACATATTAATGCCTTATTCTGCATGACCATATTTTGGATCCCTTAAACCTACACCTAAGTTTATTGAGGCAAAAGTTGTAGTTAGCAGTTAGTTAATAGTGCAAATTGGACCTTAAAATAAAGTGTGACCCATTTTCATTTAATTGAAATTAACATGCAATTAAGTGTCCAAAAACTACATTCAGTTCGCACTTCAGTATATTGTTTTAAATTATATTATTTCCCTTTTATTTCCATATTATGTTCACAAGGTACTGTTATGCCTACTATTTAAAATTTGTATGCAGATAGAAAGAAAGAAAGAATAATAAAATAATAAGCTAAGTAAAAGATTCTTCTTGTTCAATTGTCACACTGGAAAAGAAATGCTGAGCACAATAAGACACTGCACATTGTGCTAAACATGCTAAACTATTCACAGACCATTCACATAATCTGCACAATATGCATCAAGTACTGTATAGTATGCATAGCACTATAGTTTGCTATTCCAAACTTAGTGAGTCTTTTCCACACTGACCCTCACATTCACTGTCAGCTTCATTCTAATGTTGAAATTACACAACTGCATGTCTTTTAATGAAGCGCATAATGCATCCTCAACATCTGTACAACACAATTAAGCTACTGTTCAATCATGCCACCACTTTACCAAAGTTCATAAGCCAAACATGTAACCAGGCATTCAATTACAGCCATTTCAGGGCAAGCTATAGTTAGCCATTTGAAACGTTATGCCCGACCACTGCTTGATTTGTGGTGATGCAATGAAATGCACAAAGCCACCACCATTTCAGTCACCTTGAAAACTGACTATCCCAGGTTTAGCGCTATATTAGCTGTGTACAATTGTATTTGTTGAAAATCTGCACAGTTTCAGTCCCAGAGATGGAGTTGGGGAGCGGTTAGCCCTCATGAGGCATATGGACGGCTAATGAGTTCCAGGTGTGTGTGCCAATGTCTCACATGAACCTATTATAACATACTGCACTTCATACGCACGGGACCTTAAGCTCCCCTACTGAAACCAAACACGCCACTTTAATAAGCAAGGCAAGCCTAATTGAGTTCTATCTTCATTATTTTTTGACTTTATCAAACTGTTGAAGGGCCTGTGCTCACCGGTACAGCTTCATCTGAGTTTTTTTTTTTTTTTTGAGTTTCTTTTGCATTCCAAAGAGGTGAGCAGCCTGGAAACGTAACTGCCTCCAACAAGTTTTTTTTTTCCCTTGCAGTAATTGTTGGAAGTGATTATTGTAAACACACACACACTCACTCACAGTACCCCATACAAAAGTACACCACCACATCAGGAGAAAACAGCAACCAGATGTGCTTTTAGCAGAATGACCAGAGGAAACACTGACTATTAAAGGTAGAGTGAGAAGAAGTGTAATATGAAGTGATGCGTAGTGCACAGCAAATCACTAGAACATTTCACATTTACTGTATGCACCATATGTGTGTGTGTGTGTGTGTGTCCATATATAATATAATTCCTATATATATAATAGAATCCCTGTTGTTCAAACTTAAGAAGGAACAATAGGGACATTTGTATTAAAAGCACGATTTATAAATTTAGAATAAGAAACTACGTAACTGTTATTATGCAATTACTTAGTCACCTGCCATTGCGGTTTAAAAAACATTTGTTTAATATATCTTAATATCCTGTCCCCTTAAGACATTCACTTCCTAAACGAATCAAAGACGAACTTTTAAGGAGCTGTACTCAGCGTAATTGTGCCATCTTTCTCAGCAGCTTGTGTAACATGGCAGATATGACACTGGAACAATCTCTGCTGTCTTTTGATCAGTCAAGGCCCTCAAGGTATAACCGTCTCTTCTTTCACTTCACACTTTACGCTGTCACAGCTCTTCAGATTCACTTCAGATTCAAGTGTTCATCTGCTCTGCAGCCACTAGATTTATAAGGATTGTTTTTTAGACAATGTAAAATATTTGGAGTACCTGGAGGTCTTTGACATTTGAAGGTCCTGGAACTCATTTAGCTCTTGCGGTTTTCCATAAGTAATAAGAGCTCTGGGACTGCAGCAGGAAGGAGCGCTGCGACTGTAAATATTCCTCATTTACTTGCTCCTCTTTGGGCATTATGGCTAGTTTTCCAAATGTTACATTAGATTAGCCTACACACTGGCTGTGAGTGACCAACATTAGTGCTGTTTGCCAAGTCAAGCATTACTATTACTATTGTTCAAACTTGTAGTTGAGGGTTTGTTCAAATATTTAAAGGGATCGTTCACCCAGAAATGAAAATTCTGTCATTTACTTACCCTCATGTCGTTCCAAACCTGTATGACTTTTTAACAATGAAAGTTGGTTTAGTCCATTGTTGTTTTGGATGCCATTTACCTTTTTATTCACATATGGCAAAATATTTTGAATATATATATATATATATATATATATATATTTTACATACTTAAAAATGGCCAAAAATATATGGCTAACGTATTTTTCAAATGAGTTCAGTTAGTGTTAGTCTAGTTTTATATTTCCTAATTTTAGGCCATTTATATTTGTGTTGTTAAATATCTATCTATTGACATTTTATTTTTATGGATTAAACGTACAATTTTTCCCTGCTGGATAATAAACCTCTAACAAACTTACTTAAAACTCAAAAATCTAACAAAATTACATTCAAGGTGGGACTTTTAAAGACCACAGTGTGATAATGATCGTAATAAGGGTAGAATCTTTTGACCCTGGAGACCTACTGCATTAGCAGCGAGTTTTGAGCAGGCCTTCAGTTAGACATTGTTTGCTCATATTTATCTAGTACAGTGTGAAACATGTACACAAACATTTTCCAAAGACAGCCCACCTTCCAAACCCCAGCTGATTTGTTTGGATGAACCCAAGATTTGATTAGATGACTCTCACAACTTCATCTTTGATGAGATACCAAGATAACAAACAAGAAACAACTGAAAAACCCTAAACAAACTCAAACCACATTATCAGATGCATCATTTTAATTAATGTGAACAAGGTTTGAACACCTCAGTACAATGGCATCAGTGTGTTAGAGGAGAAACATGCTGCAGAGAACATTTTGGATGTGATTAACAGCACATGCTGCTAACACAATGCGAGTCATGCGCAATATGGCATATTAAAATTCATACTCACAAACTGTTCAACAAGGGTCTGTGATTAATTGCTACAATACATTTATGGAAACAAGAGCACAGATGTTCACTATTCATTGAGAGGCAGTGTTAATGCATTGTGGCATCATAAGAGAGTCAGTTACAGGTCAGCGCTGCAGTGTGTTCATGGCTTGACTACAGGCCTGGATGGTGATTACATTAATAGGCCTGATGCCTTTTGCCTAAAAGTATCTGGTAAAAATAGCACAGCTTTGTGACATATAAAAATATTTTGAGATGTGATTATCCGTATTGGTTTTGGACCGGAGTGTATGTCATGGCGGGCGTCCCAGGGAGGACACAGAGCCGTATTTGTAGGACGAGGGCAGTTTGAACACAGGCGTTTCCCATGGTTGGCCACATTATGGGATGGATTCATCACCGGCTCCCGTAGACCACTGGAGAATTCCCTACTGCGAGAGATACTTCTCGTGTTACTCTGGGCATCCATAGTAAGATAGAATAGTTTTCCAAGATACAAGACAGTGGAGTCATTCTTTAGTGGAAGAAATACCTGACAGTGGCGCTGAATGGTGCTGAATGGCTACCCATAGTGCTCTGACTTGATGCTCTGTGAGGAATTGTACCTAAATGGAAGAGACCATTCACTGCAGAACAAAGTATACAGCCAGATTGTATAAATGGATTGTTGATATCATTGAGAAATGAGTGCTGCTTTTGACATGTCAAAAGCACTATCCACTCTTTTGAGAGGAATCCAAAAATAAAAATTCAATTAAATGGTGGCTGATATATTTGCCACTGGAAAAATGTAATTAGTATTATCAAAACCAATTACTTTTTAATGAAAGTCTGTAAAACTGTAAATACAGTGTTTTAGCTTTTTATTAATTGGATTTAAGTATAGTTCAATCATGACAACTCTCGGAGGATTTTAGCATGGTGATGGATATAAGAAAGTTAATGTATTTGGTCTTGGCGGAACAGATCTGCTACGCTGCTGCTGTTGGTTATTGCTGTAGTTGTAGATTATTGCTGCTGCTGCAAGCAAGTACAGGAACTTGCTACTGCCAATGCATCTGGCAATACGGTGCATGAGTATTTAAGACATACTGCTGCTGCACAAATAGCATAGAAAATAACCCCGTAGCAGATCTATACAGGTGGAGCTGGGGAAGGTGGAGGGTTTCAGAGAACTCTGAAAGTGCGCTGCAGGAATCTCAAGTGAATGCTAGCTAGCCATATAACTGCAAGGCAGTAAGCTCATTGGCTGCATATGCAGCATGAACCAATCAGCTTGTGCCAAGTCGTTTAACTCTCTGAATATCATCGGTTACGTTAATAACCCGTCGCCTGCGCCATCTAGAGTTTCATGACTGAACTATATACATATGCCCATTATTTCACGTGAAACAATCAGCACAGAATGTGAGAAAAAATAAAACATGTCTGTATATGATACTGTTCACACAAGATGTGCTCTCTAATACTGTCTGCTCTATTTTGTAATTGTTGGTCTATATAAATATGCCGCAGACAAACATCCTCGGTTGTTGTTTTATACTGTTTGTTTTTTTAAAGATTTTATTTCACTGCATTAACTACAGTGATTATTTTTATACATTCATATAGAAATACTCACTGTAGTTATTGCAGAGAAAATTGTTTGATATATTTTAGACCTTTCCAACTAATGGCCTAAAACAATAGTACCCGATTAGTGTGTTTTAATCGCTTATGATTGATAATTAAATGAAACAGCAATAATTATATTATGGTGAGATCAGGGTTATTATATTTTTGAATTTAGATTTTAGATTTTTTATGTATTCTTTATTACAGTTTTCAGAATATCATTGTTAGTTTAAGTTTTTTTTTTTTTTTTTCTAGTTTCTGACTATTTTGTTTTGATTTTAGTTTTTGTATTTAATATTTAGTATTTTAGGTTCATTTTTTAGCACAGTCTAGTGCCATCTTGTATAGTTTAATGCAGGCTGAATGTAAAGGCCTGCAATAAACCTTAATTTCAGGTTTTATAATATTGTATTATAATATTTCTCGTACTAAAATAATTTGTTGCAATTATTACTTTTCAGCTAGTTTTGAAGGATGAAAATATATTTTACTAAGGTTTCAGTTTTTATTTTTATTTCAGTTAATGAAAATGTCGTTGTTAATAATAATACTAGGTCTGATTGCTATATGCATTGTAAAGTATTTTTATATGACTATTTTGAGTGAAGTTAGTAGTTTTTAATTCATTAGCTAATAATTTTTGTTGAAAGGGATCAAATGTAAATAGTGAAAGTAATTGACATTGTATTAGCCACAACAAGCTTGGTCCAGGATATCCATAAAATTGCAGTTCAGGTAATTGAAAACCAAAACCTACCATGATGAGTATCTGAAATTAGAATAACAGTGGGTCTCTAGTGCTGACAAACCTATGAGGCAGTCCTTTGGTGAGCTTCTAAGACAAATTCTACTCAGGACATCTGGCTAGATGGAAAAACAGAAGTATATGTCATGACAGGGTTGTGTATACTCAACAGTAAATGACACAAGGATGAGTATACAGAAAAATAAAGGAGGTTTACTGTGTGAGTGTGCCCCCTTCTGTTGATTATGCTATCAGCTCCGAGAAAGAACAACCAAACAAATGTTACAATCACAAGCAAGTCATTCAGTGATTAAAGCACAGACTATTCTGAGAAAACAGACATGACAGATAATATTTCATAGACTTTCATAAGGGATGTTAATGGTTTTTCAAAGAAACCATCAAACGCAGTCGACTGGAATGTAATTAAATAAGGTATGCATTTCTCTGTCATGTCAGTTTTGTTTTGTACAGTTGATTATGAAACAGTTTAGTATTACTGAATGAAATATAAAAATAAAAAATTATGAAACTGTGAAATGTGAAACTAAAGGACTTTTTACAAGTTGTTCTAAAGGTTTACTTACACACTAGAACTTAGTTTAGAATAGGGAATTTTTGTCACCAGGGAAACTGAAATAAACAGAGAAACGCTCTTTGAAATAGTATAATAACTCACAAAATTGATCTATTTCATAGTTACTAGGGCTAAAATATTTTTAACTGCTTAAAAAAACTAACAGTTGGAACAATCTGTTCATCTTACAGCAGGGCCGTGCACAGACATTTTGAGGGGCAGTGGTCCAAACCAAAAAAGGGGCACTAGGGGGGTGGGTGCTTGTTAATACAAATGATCCAGTTGTTACAAATATACAATTAAAAGAGAAGACAGCACACTCTGTAATAATTTCAGACTTTATTGTAGATGTTTGGATAAGAATGGGCTCTCCCTCACTCTCTGAGCCTGCTTCTGCCTCATCTTCAACGGAAGTAGGGGAGAGTGGGGTAAGTTGAGCCAGTGGGTAAGTTTACCCACTCCCTGTATGTTGGCAACTGTACACTTTTACTGTCATGTGACCATGTATTTTGGAACCACCCATCATTTCTGCCAGACTGTGAAAAGGAGAAACATATGGGGGAATGTAAGGGACCCATTTACTTAAAGGGGTCATATGATGCTATTTTAAAGATCATTATTTTGTGTATTTGGTGTAACATAATATGTTGACATGCTTTAATGTTCAAAAAACACATTATTTTTCAAATACTGTACATTATTGTAGGTCCTTCTTTATGCACCAAGAGCTTGTAACACTCCAAAGAGAAAGGAAAACTTGAAATCGCATCATATGACCCCTTTAAAAAACTGTTTTTGGCTTGTCAAAGTAAAATTTTAGCATAACATATGGTTGTTACATCAAAGCAAATTGATCCAGGGGGTCTAAAAATATTTATGATACATATAGGGGATTTAGCAACATACAAAACCATGCAAATCATTTAGTTAAATATTAGCCTGAACTGGTAAGCAACAGTAGCTTTTCCAAAATGGCAGCTATGGGGCAAAGTAAGCCAAATGCTGTGGGGTAAATTGAGTCAGCATTTTAACTTACCCCATCATAAGGCACTGTAGTTAAGTTAAATCTCTGAATTATAAATTGGAATTTTGAAAAATGTGATTGTCACAGTTATGAACTATTGTGTTTGTTTTCATTTGATCCCTCGTGTTACATTGACCTAGTTTCTGTCTCCCCTTGATTGTGTCATTATGTTCAGGTGTGTCTTGTCAATTATCCTCCCCATATAAGTTGTATTCAGTTCAGTGTTTCTTTGTCCGGTCTCGTCAACGTGTACGTGTTTCTTATGCCTTCCTGCTGTGGATTACCTTGTGTGTATAATATTAAAGACTTTTACTTTCATTTTCATCTTCGTGCGAGTTAATTCTACACAAAACCGTGACAGTGATATTACTGGTTTAGTTTATCATATATACATATTTTGTAGTTTATTTGATAGGGACAGTGTCCAAGTGCACCAAATCCTTCTCTGATAAGAACCAGAAAATGCTTTTCATCACATTATAATCAGATATATCTTTCCACCTGTAGTCCCTAATGGCCAACAAACTCTCTGTTTAGTTTGTTTTTAGGAAGGCTACAACTTTACTGTTCAACATATTGTTTCAGAAATGCAAACAATTAAATATTACCCCTAATCCGTGGCAAACTGAGCCATGGGAACACGTTTTTATAAAAAGCCATATTTTTAGAACCCTTTGTCATAGATACATACTGATCATTTAAAATGATAGGAATACTTTCATTAGGATAGGATATATTGTACTTCTGCATCATTTTAACTTATCTTGAGGACCACATAAGTAAAAAATGGCCAAACTTACCCCACTCTCCCCTATAAGTATTAGACATTTAATTTAATATTTTACAGCATAAATCTATATTATATACTAATAAACAACTCATTTAGAACATTTTATTTTTTAACTATTTTATAGGCCTACTGTTAATATGGTTTTAATACAATATGATGTGTTATAGATTACTAGTATCAAGACAAGTGATTATAATGGGAAATATACTCTTAATTACAAGAATTAGTGTGACAAACTGCTAAATATTCTATATGATGATTTACCTGCTGGCTTGCTGGAGCTTTATTCATGTTTGAAGTGTTGAACTGCCTTTAGCAGCCTCCCTTCGCTCTTTCTCTCCTTTTTTGCGAAGGCATTGTTTTTTTTTTTTGTCTACAAAGTGTGTCAACAACAGCGAATTTTATGTTATTTATATTAGATATGATCGGGTACAATAATTTGATTAGACATTCTAATTCTAAGAACGTGGATATTTAGTTGTTATCACTTTTAAAAGACCGAGAGCAAATCATTACCGACAGAAATACAAAAACAAACTACCAAATTACTAATTCAGCTAATCATCCATTGACTGTAATGTGGATTGTAATGCATCTACCGGTTAATGCAACGACATCGGGAACTGTGGTCTCCACTCCAGAGAGCGGCACACAGATCGTGAGAAATGCTCATCACAGTTTTGCTGCTTAATATTTTTCAGGATTCTATGATGAATAAAAATTTCATAACAACAGTTATGCTTTTTACTTTTATTCAATATATATAATATAACTATATATAATATATATATATAGTGCTTTTATACAATACAATAATTGTGTCAAAGCAGCTTTACAGTGTCAAACAGGAAATAGTTTGTCATGCAAGTGGACAATAACAAAGAGTCATTTTTCCAGCTAAAGACAGTTCATTGATGATTCAGTGATGTCATCATTCAGCTCTCTTCATCAGTACATATTTGGAGTAATTTAGCATTACATCTGCTAAGAGCAAGTGATGTACAGTAATGCTACATTTTTTCCAAATCTGCAATGATGAAGAAACAAACTCATCTACATCTTGAATGGCCTGATGGTGAGTCAATTTTCAGTAATTTTCATTTTTGGGTGAACTACTGCTTTAATGCATTTCAATAAGTAAGTAAGTAAGTAAATAAATAAACAGTAGTGAATGTTTGCCATGAAGCTGTGGGGATGCTTCTCTGCATCAGGCCCTGGAAGGCTGGTAAAATTATGTTAAAATACAGAAAAACCTGCAGTCAAGACATCTGCAGATTTGGGAGAACATTTGTTTTCAGTGACCCCACAGCTACAGAAGAGTGACTTAAAGACAGCTGGAGTCAGAGTCCAGCTCTCAGTCCAACTGAGCATTTATGGGTTGACTTGACAAAGGCTGTCCACCCGTGATCTCCATGCAAACTAACTGAGATCAAGCAGTTCTGCCAAGAAGAATGAAAAAGTACACTAGACACATACAGTAGTTTCTTTCCACATATACTAAAGACTGGAAGTGGACTGCCAAAGGTGCATCTACTCTAATCCTCTGTGGTTTGATTTTTGTTAGACACAAAAATGTCCAAATTTCCATAGATCCATATTGACATACCTTTGATTTTGAACAGTCATCTCTAACTTTGATATGTAGGCATTCTGTTCTGAAAGTTTCCTGTACAAATGAGAAAACAACAGAAATGAGGCAAAAATACAAAAAGAAATGACTGCGCTAATGCAGTACTCATACATCTGGACATCTTCTGCATCTCTTGTTGCATTTTCAGGCCATCCTCCTTCATTCTCTCAATCTGTTTTATTCGACATTAATTTGATTTTGTTAAAATGTGTCTTACCTTGTGCATGTTAGTTAAGAAAAAAAAAAAAACCCAGAGACTAAGCCATATTAGCTTCCACATCTACCATATCCAAGTATCAGAGCTAGTCATGTTAAGGACAGGATGCTCTCACCTTCTGCTGATAGTGGGCCAATACACTTTTCTGGTCTCTGGCCTGGAATTGTAAAACCTGCAGAGCATAATAAATATGTCTTTATGCCATAAGTTCATGATTAACATAGCTGCATTCAACTCATTCATTTATGTATAGGATTACCTTGCTTGTCTCTGAGAAGTACTTGACTGCAACTGAACTGATATCTGAGAAAATCTCTCGAACCTCTAAGCTGCCCTATGAGAACAATACACAGATTAGTGGCACAGCTCATTAAAATTAATCATCATCAAAACACACACACACGCACACACACACACACACACACACACACACACACACACACACACACACACACACACACATCTTTTGTATCGTACTTTATCAGATAGTGGGGAGATCTGACACTTTGCTTTACAAATGAGGCATACGCCCTGCTTTCCTAAAGGGGAAAACAAAGACACCCTTTCTGTAAAACTATATTACTTCCAGCAGAGGGCCGTATATCCACACATTTAATTCATGCTCTCACTATATGTAAAGACAGCACCATTATACCATTTTGAAATCTGAATATATAATTTAAATATAATAGAATGTTAATGTAAAATTATAATGTCATATATAATTTATAATGTTAATACTAATTATAATTATGTATAATATAATATATATATCACCATATGCCAGTAAAATGTTGTATGCACCTGTTATTGCCAGAACCCTCTCTAGACTGCTCACACGGTTTTGAGACACAGCCTGTGTTATTGAGATCACACATATTATTACATCTCGAGTGCTTAATTAATTCAGTTTAAAGCACTGAGTTTAAAATATCTACTGTTTTCTCACTTATGATGGAAGAATGATTGACTTAGAAATGTGAAAATAAAACAGATAAACCAACTAAATGTACATCAAACTGGGGTAAAAATAAAGGTGGATGTATAGCATTTGAGCCAAATATACAAAATAATGTAAAAGAATGTCCCTGACGAGTTCTGTGATCACCTAAATCTCTCAAATTACATACCTGTGTCTTTTTCACACGCTATCCAGATTTATACCAGTCGTGTGTACACTAAATTGCAGGTTTAGGCTACTAGTTATCATATAACTAATTAGCAGATTTTCTGTATTTTGTTGATAGTTTTATATTAATAAACGTAGTTAAAAGGCTTGATATGTTAGTGGAAACTAAATTAAATATGTAGATTTTGTCAAATAAATATTCGTGGTTGAACACACTGTTAGAGTGGAATAAAGCACAAAGAGAAGAATCTATAGGTATTTAAAAAGTATTATGGATTTATTAAAATCACTTCAGTTATGAAACATTCTCACTGCAGGGTAAATGCTCAGATGTTTATGCTCAGATGAAGTCATTTAGACTTCAACATTATGCTTCAAACAATGTTACGGTTGTCCAGACACACAGTTAGTCATTTCGTAAAGCTAAACCAACTTCTTTTCGATCAGAAAGTTTTTGAGGTTTTTCATTTGCCAGATTCCAAGAGAGAGGAGTATTGATGTCTGAATAATGGCCCACCGCAAAACGTTTCCATTTGTTTCCTCACTCATTTGGCGAAACTTCTCCTCACGGTCCTGGTTGCAGTAAAATAAACACATACAAATTGCACATAATCACCAGGACAGATGACACTCGGTCTGGTTCTTATTCTGATCCTGGCAAGCAATTAATATGGTAACATTTTGTTGTCAGGCCATCCTACCTGCAATTGCTTACCCTTTGGAAATTTTGCTGCCTGCTAATGTAACGCATCTGGTCAATGAGATGTTGCAAGTTGTACTCCATTGCTTTCATAGTGTCCTTTGCCTTCGCAGCATTAGGATCAATGGTATGCTCGCCCATCTGGACATCTAAATGCACTTTCTGTACATAAAGAGAATAGTAAAAGCACAACTATATCTGACACTTTAAAATTCAAGATATGGGGCCACAGCATTTCACAACTCACCAAACGATCTCCAGCAAACACAGAGAACCTGGTGGAGTTGGACTGCATGCACAAGAAATGCTGACCCGAAGCCGATACACTTTTTACCTGAAATTATTATTTTTTTTAAATAAACAAAATGACACTATTTTTGTACCACTATTTTGGTCAGATCTCTGATCAGTTTAGTAGATATAAGCCCCTAAATAGTCTCTGACTTGGCTGTTGTAGACTGAAAATTGAGTGTTTACTATTGTCACTTTGCATTATTGACACACTATTTTCCTAATTAATGCTGTACAGCTGCTTTGACACAATCTGTATCGTTAAAAGCGCTATATAGATAAAGGTGACTTGACTTGACTTGATAAGAGTGGGCCAAATGTATCACACCAATTATCGAAAACGTTTGCCTCCAGAATTTATCTTGATGTTTGGACCACAAACAAACAAAAGCCCAAACATCAAGTCAACAATAAAGGTTCTACACATATTAAAAGTAGGATTATATTTTCAAATTGTATATTAAATCACCTGTTAGTGTGAGCAGTATATAAGGAAAAGTGTTCCGGGCCCATTCAGGATCAAATAACTGATTCGTCTTGTGTAATAGAGCAAATATGTATAGCATTGTATAACAGCACAATTCATCTTCACTGACCTGACACAAGTGTGTCCTCTGGAATCTCCTCAATGAGACACTTTTCCTCCTGCTCCCCTAAATCAAAATACATCGCAGGAGCCAAAATGACAAAACTGGCTAGCAGCAGGCCTGTCAGCCTCACATTCATTACTGTAAAACAATTCATTTTTAAGGTAAGAAAGTTACAAGTAACAATAACACAACACTAGTAAAGCTTTATGTGCCCAGCAGGTTTAGTGTGAGAAATCTTCAGCTGCTGTTTGTAGAGTCATGTTTAAAGAAGGTAAACAGAAAGTAATGATAAGACTAGGGAGAAACCTAAATATGTTGATAGAAATAGTCAACCTATTACGTCTTGCTTTGTTAAGATATATAGTACAGTCCAGCCCAAAAACTATTTAGACACCGTGTCACACTTGAGAATGTTGTGCATTAGAAAACAAAATATCAAACCAAATGTCATTTATTAGAAAGACATCACAGTTTTCGAGCCAAATATTTCACAAAAAGGTTTCAAAAGAGGATCAAGACTAAATATTTTGTGACACTTTGTGACCATGTCCATAATCACTGTGATAAACAACACCAGAATGTGGTTTCCTGTGTGAACCCTAGAACTGATTCATTGACTAAAATGCTTATTAAAAGACACTGCAAAAATGGCTTTGAATAGTGAAATAGAAAATGTCTGGCATCATTTGATTTGATCCTTGATATTCAGACATTTTAAGTATGATTTACATGCCCAAAGAGATGGACAATTTATATTGCATTTTTTATCTTTTAGAAAATATAATACATTTTCACACAAGCATGACAAAGAAACTTGTTTTATTTTTTTCTATGTACAACTTTATATACAGTTTTGCAATTAATGTACAGATATCATCCACTGATGCAACATATTTTGAGGAGAACAGAGTATTTTTTACTGAAGATGTTTATCTCGACTACTGAGCTTGATCATGTCAATGGTGAGTTTTATTTTCCACCAGAGAGCACCAGACTCCATGAACAGTGCATGAGGACAGTGTGTGACACTTACAGCAAATTCAGCCTATAAACTCCTGCTATTAGAGCAAATATTGCTGTATTGAAAGTATTTTTGACATCTGCAGTTCCTCATATTTTACTCTCAAATGTGATACACTTACTGGGAATTTACTTTGGGTACTTCAGTCTTCTTTTTAACTTGGGGTATGTTGCCTAGCCTGTTCATTACCACGTTTAAGCTTGTTAGCTCACCCGCAACACCATAGCTTTAAAAGAACAAAGTAATTCCCTTTAAAATGTCTCATTTTAAAGCTGTTAACCAGTAGATTCTTCCCTGTGGATGAGGTATGGATGGTAGGTCCTCTTTATTTTCACACACAGTTGTCAGGGATACAGAGCTTCTTTTCCTCTAGGGGTGGGCAGGCAGCCCCATTGTTTGCAGGATGCATGTGAATATAGCGGGTTCTGTGTTTTACCCCTTTCTCACCACACTGACCCTTACAAAGACCCCAAGGTGACCAGACAGACACCTCACAGTCCAGAGGGGTATCTGTAGAAAAAGAGATGTTGATTAGTACTAATAATTTGAGGAGAACTGGGAACAAATAATTGTAGTTGTTAATAATAATTGCAGTTCATTAAAATCAAATCATCATAATATCAGCCAATCAAAACTTGTTTTGGTGCACTATTCCTTTAAAAAGTGAAGTGACAGTGACGTGTAGCCAAGTATGGTGTCCCATACTCGAAATTTGTGCTCTGCATTTATCCCATCCAAGTGCACACACACAGCAGTGAGTAGTGAACACACACACACACACACACACACCCCGGAGCAGTAGGCAGCCATTTTTGCTGCGGCACCCAGGGAGCAGTTGGGAGTTTGGTGCCTTGCTGTATATTCACTCCCCCCCACCTACAGTCTACCGAGACTTGAACCCGCAACCTTTGGGTTACAAGTCCGACTCTCTAACCATTAGGTCATGACTGCCCCCAAATAGTTATTAGCCCAATTAAATGGGGCTAATAAAGCTAAGTAACTTGATCTCAGGAAAACATAACTAGTTTGTTTTTTTGACAAATTGGTGGCAAATTCATATGAATTTGTACTATTCGAGTCGTGTGAAAATGAAAAAAAAAAAAAACAAGCAAGAAGCATGATCCAACCAGTTTGTATGAAAACGTATGAATGACAATTGTACTAATTCAAATGAGTTTGTCACCAATTTGCCAAAACTTTCATTAAAATTGCCATGAAAATGTTTTGGGCTAAGCATTTATATTCATATTATTGGTAAAACATTTATATTATTTGTGAAGTGTAAAACAAATGGAAAGTTGCCTAAAGGCTAAATCACTTTAATTTAGCATTTAATTTAATGTTCTATGATACATTAAAGTTTAGGGCTGAAATAATTGCTTCTCATCCTGAACCTGCCTAGAGAGATCTCCTGATTCACCGATGCTTTCCAGAAATCCTGACCTTGTAAAAGGTTGATATCTATCACAGACTTTTGTACAAGTAGGAAAACAGAAGGATGGAATCAAAGCACACATGACAAACGCTTCCTGAGTTCTGAGTGGCAGAAAACTTTTAAACGGATTGGCCTCCATTATCGTGTTTGCAGTTTGTTGTGTTGGTTACCATGGGAGTGGATAACCCTTTCTACAGCCCGCAATTTAATCACCACAAGTTCTCTCTACGGATTTGTAGTGTTTCCCTTGAAAATGGAATACATGCATTTAAGATTCAAATGCAAGTATATCATGAATAAGTCCTGTATGAGGAGACAATGCCAGACCATTACAGCATTATTTTGACAAACAATTCCCAATGCTTACTTATGAGAGACCCATCTATTTCATTCCCACTTGGAATCTGATTGGACTGGGTCGGCTGAATGGGTAAGCTGAAGATCTGGTTGTTCTTGATCTTTGTTAGGGAGACTTTAGCTATTGGGGGGAGATGCTTCAGTCTGGGATAGTAGAAGGAGTTTGCAGGGTGACTTGGGAATGATGCGGTTATCTGTTGAGAGAAGACATATCTGTAACAAGATCTGTAATAAGACCTCCATCCCTGCAGAAAAATGTCGGTTAGGTGGTCCGCTTTGCTGGTTTTAGGAGGCATTTTGACCACTGACAAACTGAACCAGCTTAAACCAGCAAACCACCTTATGCTGGTTTAAGTGTTTGTTTGTTTGTTTTTTTCTCAGCAGTGACTGGTTCCCTAAGTAGGCAAACTCTGCTGAAAAAAAATACATCTTAAACTTGCTTAAGATTGTTTCCTGGTCTCCTCTGGCCTCCAAGTCTGGTCAGGCTGGATTTTGAAAAATTTTCAGTTGGTGAGGCTGGGAAACCAGCTGGTTGCCCAGTTAAACACCAGCTTGGCCAGGCTGGGAGAACAGCTTGACCCAAAAAGAAAGACCAGCAAACCAGCTCATTCTGGTCTAAGAAGCATTGTTTCATGGAAAACATTATAAATATATATGACTTGTAGGGTTATCTGCTTTTAGACATTACCTGAGTGATCTTGTCTTGAGGAATGGTCTCAAAATTTGGTGAAGAGAAGGTGAAACCACTATCTGTGCCGGCATCGTAGGGGTAGAGATCTAGGCTTATGTTTTCTATCCAGTTATCACCCTCGCACAAGTTTAGACTGTCTATTCCAACAAACCAGTCAGGACTTGGCACAATGCAGACAATGAAGGACAGCTGCAAAACAAGAAGACCATTAGTGTTCTGTTCCACTCTGGTTTTTAGCTTGCTCATTAGCTAGTATGAGTTGCTGGCTGGTTTTCATTTGGAAAGTTCTATTATTTACAATTCTCTCTATAATATTTTATATGGAATGCCTGGGAGGCCAGTGAAGTATGTGCATGTAGAGAGCCAGTTCCAGAAGAATGCTTTGGACACAGTATGGAAGTGTCCACATCTTCTGACTGAAAACATCTGTGGTTTCTTATTTAAAAAAAAAAACAGCTTAAACCAGCCAATGGTCATTTGCTGGTCTTACTGTAGATGGTCAAAGATGGTCTAGTCTGTATCTCAGTATAGCCAAATAAGAGTTTAGTTGGTTGATCTGGTCAGCCTCGGGGTGTTTCAGCCTGACCAGCTAACCGAAAACCCTTCTAATTGGATTTGATATTCATTTGAGTAAAATATAGCTGCATAATATGCATATAAATACGTCATATGCAGGGCCATGATTTGGTGCTGAAGAAAGGTTCAGGCTTTTCCATGCTTTAACCTACTGCAGTGTACTTACTAAGGAGTGTCTTGCATAGACTTCAAATTCTGTGGTTGCCTGACCGGTTCCTCCAACCACAGCTGGCGCTGAAAAGAGGCCATAGACGCTCTGGATCCGTTCCCCAGCTGCCTCCACTTCCTTTATCAGGGTCCAAGCCTCTGCTCTCTCAGAGAACTCTCTCACTCCATTACTGGCGTACTCGTTCCTTTGCCAGATGTGATAGTCTGAGCTGTGAGTTACTCCTAAAATGAAAATTATATTTATTTTCGATGTGTACTTCTACTTCAGTGCATAACATGCTGCCCAAGCTCTGCCATCATTGTCTTGCTCAGACCCATAGGAACAGAGTGTGAGTTATACAGTGGCTTGTGAGGGGTTGACTTTATTTTATAGGAAATTTTTAGGCATAAAAATCTTGAGCAACCCAGATTATTTTGGGCATCCCTAAAGCACAGTTTAACACTGCCAACTATCAGTGTTACTGTATTTTTATATACTTTTGTGATAATATACAAAAATCTATAAGAAAGTTTTAAATAATGATTTTTATTACCCATATTAGCCATAATCCAATAACGATCAGCAAGCAGCCATGCAAAAAAATACGCACATTGGCTAATAAGTTTATAAAACATTGTTAAAAAAACATCAAAGTTTTTATTGGCATTTATGGTTCCATGAACATTTGACATCCATGAAAACTTTCCACTGCACTAAAGTTCTCCAGATTATCAAAATGTTCTTTACACTAAGAAGAAAAAAAAAATTATTTTAAGAACTGTTCCCAGAAAGGTTTTTGGGGGAACCAAAAATGGTTATTCTATGCCATCACCGTGGAAACCCACTTTTTGAACCTTTATGTTACGTTTGTATATCACCTAACCTTTGTTTTGACTTCCTTTGGAGGGGTTAATCATAGTTACTGGGTCAAACCCCCTCAATAGGAACAATGTGAAAGGTTTGGGTGAAC